CTTTACAACAAAAAAGTTTAACGAACATATTACATTAAAAGAAAATCATTACCAAATTTGGTCGTGAGATTCAAAATTGTGAGATATGAAAATTATTGTTGCACTTCTGAGCATAACTTTCAAATTTAAAAAATCTATGGAAAAGAAAATTCGAGACAAATTTTTTTTTAGATTAATAGACTCCATTTTTAAAGCTGAATTGAGTGGTGGTGAGTTTTTAAAAATCCATTGTGTGGATCACATAATATTTCAAAAATTTTAACGTTTGAGTATAGGTGATCCGCACTGTGGCTAAAATTATATCCAAAAATATTTGAACTCCTTAAAAGAATAAATCAAATAGCATTAGTTTTATTTTATGAGAATCCGAATATTTGACAAAGCAAAACAATTTCGACTAACATCTATGTTTTTCTTATGGTAGCAGAAAAAGAAAAAAATCGATTGATGCAAAAGATAAAAATGTTAAAATTTTACTTCCCGTTTATCTGAATCAATAACAACCTCGGATCATAAAAAATCCGAAACCCACTAATCCAAAGAAAAGATCCTGCATAAATACTATCGGTTTAATGTATATCTTTATATTTTATAGTTCTGTGGTTTAAAGGAATTATCCTGATATCGAGTCTCGCAGAAATCAAGCCAACTCAAATTAAATGGTTGGCTTATTCTAATTCTAAACAAATGTTCTATAAATATGTGTCTTGTATAAATAGAAATAAACTTTGTAGTTAAAGGTTTCCATTGAAGAAAAAAGAAAGTTAATCAGCAAGTATTTTTCCTCCTGGTATTATTGATTAAATAATTATGGCAAAAAATATGTACATTCTTTCATCTGTAGGTTGCGAAAGAATCAAAAATAAGAAATTCATTAAATGTAGAAATTTATATATGTTGATGCGAGTATCTTTGGAGGTCCGCCAAGTAAAGAATTTAGAGCAATATTAGATATATTATTTGGAACTCATTAAAAACAAATAGTTTAATTTTATTATCCATTAAGGTAAAAAAATTTTGGTCGGAAAAATGGTAAATTTTTGTGCGCCGATTCACGTCCAGAAAATATTAAACTTACAGATGGTAATGGGCTTTATGAGATTCAAACCTTGGTTCTAGTGAATAAGAAGCAAAAAACCATATTTAGTTGCTGATAAATGTTTTGAGAATTGTGAACTAAGTTTGAAATAGCATTGCGTTGGAAAAGTATCAGAAACGTAAGGCTTTGTTATGATAAAAGCAGGATAATAGTTGGAGGGTGATACACCTATAGACACTTTGATAATTACAAGTGTGCTGGATTGCAAATAACTGTTAACAATATCGTATATGTTTTATCTATATATAGGTTGTTGACTAGTTCTATGATGTACGTTGGTTATTAATTCATAACGATAGCATTAGCACGAAAAGAGATAGTTGACTGATGCAAACATTGTTAAATGGTAGGACGAAAATCTACGTCGAAATGGACTATTGTTAAGGAGCACTATAAACAATATCCTTTTATAAATTTTACAAGCGTAATCTTCTTTACGAATTCTTAAATTTTTGAAGAATTAATTATATCTACCTGGTAAAAGAAGGGACAAAAAAGGCTAGGACGGTGAAAGAAAATTTTTTTGTGTCCTCCCGTACTTTCTTTCGAGGGAATAGATTCATTTTTATCTAAATGATATGGTTATGTGTATTTTTCTGCCATTGATAATAAAAAAATTCGTTCATTTCAATATCCAACTTTGACAATTTTAAACTGTCAAGTGTTCCACTGTGTAGTACAACTTATAATTTTGTTGTATACATCACGTGCTGTGTGCCATTTGCCGAAATGAAAAATTTAAAATCCCCCAATTTGCGATTATATTACGCGAAACATCCGAGATTTCTTTCTAGTGATAATAAAGTTATCAAACTTGCTATCAAACTTCGAACCAATATATCAAGAAAGAAAGTTCTTTATTACTAAAAATATTAATAATTTTGCGAATTTTATTATTATTATACTACAAATGAAACAAGCTAAATTCGCTTTTATAATAAAGAATAATCTAATAACTATTACAGATAGTATGTTACAGATTACATACCATAACAGTATAATGATAAATATAATAAAAAATAACGTATTTGTACATTATTTTATTGGTGTGTATATCCTTTCGCGATGACTTTAGAACACGAAAAGATTTGAAAGAAAGAAAAGAAATATTTTTATTTAATTAATTAATCATTAAATGAGTTAATAAATTAATAAATTTTTACAAATTAATATTAATATACAAATTAGGTCAATCAATCAATATACTTCTAGGTTAAGCTGATCAAGAGAAATAATTAATAAATTGTCAAGGATAAATAAATTTATTGGAAGTTGATGGATTCACTTATTTAGAGATAGATAAAAAAGGATACATATAAAAACGAAGTTTTACGTGGATCTCTAAAATTAACGCCTAATTTATTATAACAATTTAAATTTTCATCATTTAGAAAGAAACAAATTTCTTCAACCATCTATAAATTAAAGGATCAAGGAATTAGAAATCAATAAGTAGTAACATATACAAAGTACCTATGTGTATATTTTATTACCTTGTCATAATGTGATCTTATACATAGTATTGAAGAATATAATGTTATGCATGCAAGGCAATTTTCAAACCAACTGTATTTTGGATTATCTGCTTCTTTCAATAATTCATTTAATTTATCAATTGTTTCTTTAAATCTCATCGGACTCACCTAAACAAATTAGAAGAAAACATTGCCTTAGAAATAATAGAAATGTTATTGTTATTCTTATTATTCTTATTAAGATATATTGTTAAGGTACTTACTCTCTCGTTAATCTCTTTTGGAAAATCATTTTTGAATTGACATAATTCTCCTTTTGAGTAATCTCTTTCTATCCTAATAACCGTTTTTGGTTTTATCGTTATTATTGATGGTGATACCATTGTGGATAGTGATGACGATGTCGCAGATTCCATCGTTGTGGTGTTGCTGGTGTTGGTGGTGGTGAATGATGTTAGTGAGAATGAAGATGATTCTGATTTTCTTCTTATTAAAGGATTTGAATCCATCTTTTTTTCTAACTATTTTAAGCAAGTTTATATTATTGTTAAAATTATTTCAATTATTATTTTTGATGATTATTGTTTTATTGTTGTTATGATTATTATGATTATTATTTGAAAATTATCTTATTTTCTTTTTTAAATATTCTTCTTTCCTAACATTATTTATATTAATAATGTTATTAGTGTCACCTTCATTAATATATTTTTGCATAGAATTTGGTCATTATTGGTATTATTACTGTAGTTTGTAATGTTATTAATAATCGTGATCTCTTTCTTTATTCCTCTTCCTCTGTTTCATATTTGTAATGATTGGTTGTATAAATATTAGAAACTTAAACAGTTTCATTAATTTTTTTTTACCATTATTTCTCTTCTTAATCCCGTGAATGCCGTAAAATTACTTTGGTTTTATTTTTTAATTTTTAATGCAAAAATAATATTTCAAATTATTTATTATGTAACAAATTAATAATGGGAGAAATTAATTAATAAAACACAAACATGCGTTCGAGATTGTGTTTGTTTATTTATTATTCTTATGTTAATTAATTATAATTTATATTATCTAGGACCATTGTCCGATTGACTCGTCAAGTAGCGAATTCATAAAATAAAGTTCAAAGAATACACTTTCCTGAACAATTTTCATAAAGTAACACTACAATTCATTACCCTGGAATGAAGAAAAAATAATGACCGCAGATTCATTTCTTTTTTTATACATATCAACAAAGATTGGTCGTTTACTACTACAATTCTCCTCGATGTTCGTACGTTGCTTCTCCTCCATTTCTACTTTTAGAGAAGTTGTTGCACCAAATAAAGAGTACTTGCAGTATTTGGTGGATCAATTAATGGCGTAGCAGTAATCCTATTGGTATTCTACTCTTTTCTTCATTTTCATATGTAATTTTTAATTTCATTCGCATAACTAACACTTTCGTATTACTATTACTGCGTGTTGATGATTTATTTGAAAACAAAGCAAAATCGATTATTAAGAACATCAAATAAATTGAAAGTTTACATAGAACTTATAACCATGCTAGATTGATGTATTATTTTTCACTCTAGCATTCCCCAAATGCACTTTGCTCTTTGTATATTATAAATCTTTTGACCCTCCCAAAACAAATAATGTTTATAATACTAATTGAGAAATGATCTTAAATAAGATATCGTAATTCCTGGAAGAGAAAAAAACCTATAGTTTCCTCATTTTCAAACCTTGGAATTTTAAAATTTATGACAATTAATATCTTTGAAGTGCTATTATTTTAATTTTATCATATATGCATATATATATATATATATATATATATATATATATATATAATAAGAATATTTAATCCAAATCGTGCGCTCTTTGGTCATAAAAATATAATAAAAATTGTATTGCGATATTTATTTACTTATTTACCTATTTACTGATTTAATAATATTAATCATGATAAAATCATCATTTTTTTTAAATTTTATTAATACTACTGCTATTTAATAATTACAATTTATTGAACGCTGCCACATCAACACTTTGAACATAATCTTCAAAGGCAGTAATCTTTTCTTCCATATCATCTATAAGTAACATATAAAAAAGAAAACCAATTAACAAATATTCCTTCCTCCTCCACACACCCAAATGTAAATTAATTAATTACTTACCAACACTGACTTTCTCATCTTCAACAACACATGTGATTTGTAATTTTTTAATACCATAACCAACGGCAACAAGTTTAGAAGTACCCCAAACCAAACCATCCAAAGAAACAGATCTGACAGATTTCTCCAATTCTGCCATATCAGTAGTATCATCCCAAGGTTTAACATCCAGAATAACCATACTTTTGGCTGCTGGTTTAGGTTTGTTAGCCTTTTTGCGTTGATATTCGGCAAGATTAGCAGCCTTTTGACGTTCAGCTTCTGCATCTTCTTCCTCATCATCAGAACCAAACAAATCAACTTCATCATCGTCATCGTCTGCTGCTTTCTTGTCAGTGGTAGCAGATGCGACAACATCTGGGCCATAATGTGATGCATCTTTTTTTGTACCGGGAAGAGAATTAAATGAACTAGAATATGAACTGACATGTTTATACCAACGTGCTGCATGTGGATATGTTTTTGAATCTGGTGTTTTGCTCTTTAAAGCTTCATAAACGGATGCGTCTGCTTGAGATGGTTCATATCTTTTGAAAGAAAAGAATTTTTTAATTTATAAAATTTGTTATTATTAATTTTTTTGTGTATATGTTTAAGCTAGATCTGTTATTATTAATTAATTATAATCTTTGATCAGAAAATTTGGAAGTTTTTTCATTCATAAAATGGTGTCTTAATTCCATTTCAGAAACACGGACCAAATAATTTCATCATTTTATAAATAAATAAATAAATATTTATAAATACTCATAGAAAGGATCAATGATCCTTTTTCATATAAATATTAAACTTACCCCTCTATATAAGATTTATCTTCTAAGAAGGTGTTAAGAGCACTAAGGCCAGTATCATTATCAAGTTGAGTAAGACCCTAGAATATGATGTGGTGATTATTAAAAAATATTAAATAAAAAATCATTTTTTGAACGTTTAGTGAATTAAAACAACAGTACCATTTTTAATTTTATAATATATAATATGTATTAAATAAATTAGAAAACTTTATAAAGAATTAAATTATTATAAAAAAATTTTTTTTTAATAGAGGTTATTTTCTTTTCAAGATTAAGATTCTTGGATCCTCGTATCACAATAGAAGTTACACAGTACTATTATTCTTTTCATTTTTTCTATATATCTTGCAATATAAATTACCTCGGAAGAAATTTTTTGATTTTTTTACACATCAAGTAGAATGAATTCGCCTAATTACGATGAAAATTTACAATCTTGGATTAAGAAATTTAAACTTCAATATGGATTAGTTATTGATGAAAGAGGCGTAAAAGAAGGAGATTTCCAATCTTTTAAATTTTCAACAGAAATTAATAAAATTAATCCAACTAATTCTATAAAAACCAAGTTGACAATCACAAATTCATTATTAAATTCTTACCTTTTAAAAAGTGATATTGATGATATTAATAATAGAATGATTAAGTTCTTTAATCAAGAAGTTCCTTTTATTGATTTGAAAGTAAAAGATTCATGGAGTTTAGAACCTGAACAAAAAGTCAAACAAACCATTCATTATGAGATTAGTAGTGAACAAATTGAGTTGATTTTTGAAAATTTTATACCATCAAATGAATTAATTAAAGTTGTGCGTAAAGCTTTAGATACAGAGAACCCTTATCATGAACTTGAAATTATATTTAATGAATATGGCCATTTGTTATGTAAAAAAGTTATACTAGGTGGAAAATTGTCAAGATTATGGTATTTAAATGGTAATTATTATAAATTTATATAATTTATTGATCTTTAAATCATCAAATTTTTTTATTGATTTAAATTATTTTCTTTTTAGAAAATTTATTGCCAGAAAAAACAATTGAAAAACCAAGCATAAATGACAATGAAGGACTTGATGAAATGTTAAAAGATTGGGATGAGACTCATAAAAAGATTGATTATGATTTTGATTTGGATGATAATTATTTTTTTAATATAGATGGGCATATAACAAAAAGAAATTCAGTAATTGATTGGATAAAAACAATGCCAAAAAAAATGAAAAACTGGGATGTAATTTATTATGATGACCTAATTCCATTATATAAAATTTTTGATGAATCATTACAAAAAGAAATTGAACTTCTTTTCAAAGATCAAATATTAATGATGAGTTCAATTAAAATTGAGAAAGATAAAAAATATTATAGGGTTAATTTTAAAACTCCTTTGAAAAGTGATAAATATCAAATTTATGGAACCATTTTTAATAACTATTCGGAAAAATGTCCTGATATTACCATCAAATTTAAATATTTTAATCAATATGGATTTTCAACAATCATTGAAGGGTATCTAGTACATATAATATTATTCTTAATATATTTAATAATAATTTTATTTATTATTTTTTTACAGGTCTAATAAAAATCAAAATGATGTTTTGTGTATTCGATGGGCAATGGTTGGTTCTCCTATGAAAATAGGATTTTATAGCAAAGACACTAGAAAATTAGAAATGACAAATAGTGGAAAGGTGAATTTTCTTACATTTTGAATTAAATATAATTTATTAACAAAATAATCAACATCATGACAAATTTTAAATATGCCATTATTTATTATTATTAGACTTCTGGAACTGATCTAGATGATATAATTGACATATTTTCATTTAACAACCACCCTATTATTATTAATATATTTGGTTGGTTTGGTAAGTTAAAAAATTATTAATTATTTAAAACATCATCTAATTAAATACATTTATTTTCTATTTTTTATAATAATAGTGCGTAAGTATTATACTATAAATCAACCTTTAAATTAACTTTTATAACACAAAATAATTTCTATTAAAACATCAAATAAATTTTATTTTATTGTTATAATAACAGTGCGTAAGTATTATACTATAAATTAACTTTTACAACACAAAATAATTTCTATTAAAACATTATTTAATCAAATAAATTTATTTTTTATAATAACAGCATGTAAGTATTATACTATAAATTAACTTTTACAACACAAAATAGTTTCTATTAAAACATCATCTAATCGGATAAATTTTATTTTATTTTATAATAAACAGCATGTAAGTATTATACTATAAATTAACTTTTACAACACTAGATAATTTTTATTAAAACATCACCTAATCAAATAAATTTTATTTTATTTTTATGATAACAGTGTGTAAGTATTATACTATAAATTTACTTTTACAGCACAAAATGATTTCTATTAAAACATCATCTAATTAAATAATTTTATTTTTTATTTCTTTATAATAATAACAGCGAGTAAGTATTATGCTATAATTGACTTTTACAATACAAAATAAACTTTGTCAAAACATCATCTAATTAAATAATTTTTATTTTATTTCATAGGTTGTAAGTATTATGTTATAAATCAACTTTTACAACACACAATCAATTTCATTAAAACATCATCTAATTGAATATTTTTATTTTTATTTCTTTGTAATAACCAGTTGGTAAGTATTATATTATAAATTAACTTTTACAACACAAAATAATTTTTATTAAAACATCATCTATTAAATCTATTCTTATTACTTTATAATAACCAGCTTGTAAGTATTATACTATAAATTAACTTTTACAACACAAATAATTTATATTAAAACATCATCTAATCAAATAATTTTATTTTTTATTTCTTTATAATAACAGCATGTAAGTAATATATCATAAATTAAATTTTACAACCTAAAATAATTTCTATTAAAACATCATCTAATCAAATAAATATTTTTTTATAACAATAGCACGTAAGTATCATACTATAAATTAACTTTTACAACACAAAATAATTTCTATTAAAACATTATTTAATCAGATAAATTTTATTTTATTTTATAATAAACAGCATGTAAGTATTATACTATAGATTAACTTTTACAACACTAGATAATTTTTATTAAAACATCACCTAATCAAATAAATTTTATTTTATTTTTATGATAA